GAGATGTGGGGTTTGCTTATGTTCTATATTTTTTTCCCTTGTGCAAATCCCGTATTGTCATCAATCCACCAAAAAGGGGGAGATTGTAAGGGCATATTTATTTATCCCTAAGGTGTTTTGGTGATTGATGACAATGTGTTTGCGGACTAATCGCATGCCTTGAGTATTTCAGACATTTTGTCACTAGGCACAAGACGGTTTGGTGCCCCTCGAAGACTAGTGAAGACGGCGTTTTTCTACGTTTCTTTTTGGTGGACTTGAGTCATAGGAAAGAGGGGGTCCGTGTTGGAAAGGTTCGGGTGGAATCACCACGTACACATTTTCTCCCTCTGCACTGCCTTTCCCCTTGCACTTTGGAGCATTGTCCGCTTTCTTCATATATATGCAAAAGAGAAGGATTCCTAGTGTTGATGTTCTAGGGCATGCGGTAGTACTGCTCCTAGGAGCGGTAGTACCGCAGGCTCCTGTGGTAGTACCGTAGGTGCCCACGGTAGTACCACTCCCAAGTAGCGGTAGTACCGTGGCCTCGGACCAAACTCAGCCGCTCGCGCGGCTGTAGGGGCAGATGTAACTTTTTACATCCGCGTCCTGTGCGGTAGTACCGCCCCATGCGCGCGGTAGTACCGTGAGTCTTGGTCTGGCATGGCAACAGGAGCGGAAGTAGGGGCGGATGTAATTTTTTTACATCCGCTCCCTGCACGGTAGTACCGCATGCCTTGCGCGGTAGTACCGTGTCGGATTTTTTGCATTGTTTATTTTCAACGGAAGTGGGCATGGATGTATTCTTATTCATCCGTGCCCCTTCCTAGGCTAGTTCAATCCTGCCTTGCGGTAGTACCGCAAGGGGGAGTGGTAGTACCGCGCTAGTGGCAGTACCGGCCTCAGCCACTGCGGTTCAGGCCTGGGCTAGCTCTTGCCGTAGCTGCGGTAGTACCGCGATCCATCGTAGTACCGTGAGCCCTTGCGGTAGTACCGCGTGTCTTGAGCGGTAGTACCGCAAGTCGCGGGCTGGCTAGTGGATAACGGTTGGATTTGTCTCTCCACTATATAAGGGGTGTCTTCTTCCTCTAGTTGACTACCTCTTCCAACCCTAAGCTCCATTATTGCTCCAAGCTCCATTTTCGCCCGATCTCTCGCCCTAGCTAATCAAACTTATTGATTTGCTCGGGATTGGTTGAGAAGGCCCCGACCTACACTTTCACCAAGAGAAATTTGATTCCCCCCACTAATCCCTAGCGGATCTTATTACTCTTGGGTGTTTGAGCACCCTAGACGGTTGAGGTCACCGCGGAGCCATAGTCCATTGTGGTGAAGCTTCATGGTGTCGTTGGGAGCCTCCAATTAAGTTGTGGAGATTGCCCCAACCTTGTTTGTAAAGGTTCGGTCGCCGCCTTCAAGGGCACAAATAGTGGAATCACGGCATCTCGCATTGTGTGAGGGCGTGAGGAGAATACGGTGGTCCTAGTGGCTTCTTGGGGAGTATTGTGCCTCCACACCGCCCTAACGGAGACGTACTTCCCCTCAAAAGGAAGGAACTTCGGTAACATATCCTCGTCTTCACTGGCTCCACTCTTGGTTATCTCGTACCTTTTTGCAAGTTTAGTTGTGTTGTTTCCCTTGCTTACTTGTGTGCTTGTTGTTGTTGCATCATATAGGTTGCTCACCTAGTTGCATTTCTAGACAACCTACTTTGATGCAAACTTTAATTTGGTAAAGAAAAGCTAAAAATTCTTAGTTGCCTATTCACCCCCCCCTCTAGTCAACTATATCGATCCTTTCAGTAGGTGTCGTGCGGTACGAACACCGAATGTTTGTACCGCACATCATCTTCTATTACGGAGGCTCCAGTACACACATAGTTGAATGTTTGTGATCCTTACGTTCGGTATATCCCGTATATAGGTTGATTTTGACTGAACAAAATAAAATTTTTTTTTGCAACCATTTGCATTTATTAGTCATTAGGAGTAAAATAAAAGTGATTTTCTAAGAAACATCTTATAAATTTGGTTTGAGCACATGTAAAAATGATTGAAAAATCCAATCATCAGTAATAGAGTGGAGACAAATCTACATGCTTGCCGATGGAGCCAGAAGGGACGAGTTTACCCTAACAGTCCTAGGCAAGGGAAGGAATGCTTGGCATATGTTGATATAGGGAAAAAAAACTCCAAAACATCATATTTTGGAACTCTATTTTTTCAGCATATATCATGATAATTGTGTTTTTTTACCTGAAATATTTATGAACATCCAAAAATACACAAACAAATACACGTTCATTTTTTCGAAAAGGTTTTGTATGTGCAGAATTATTATTTACATGCCGAGCATATGGTCCGGAGAGCCGTTTTAAATATCTGGTTGGCATCAATCTAAATCTATTGATTTCCTTTTGTAGCCACAAGCAACGGAACAAAAGTTAGGTCATGTTGTGAACCAACCCATAGTTGGATGGTTAGGAGGACACTGGTATTTCCGGCAAGGTTCAAGTCATAGACTTTGACATCAGTGCTTGCATTTTATTTTACTGAATTTATTTCAGGCCTTCTGCCGACGTGCATTCAATGGGAGGATACGTTCTCGTTTGACTACCAAGGCATTTTGCCGCGACTTCGTCAATCTCAAGATGATATGTCGGCTCAGTCTTTCAGAGGTATTCATAGGGGTAGGATATGCGTGTGTGCGTTCATAGAGATGGGCGTATCTGCATATGTACGAGCGTCTGTGTACTTTGTTAAAAAAAATTAAGTCATACTAAGACCACAAAAGCTAGGATGATGTGTCTCTGAAACAAAACAAAAAATATAGCTTAATAAGAAAACAAAGTGAGATGATGCCCGGTTTGTTCATAAGCAGGTGTCTATCAGCCATCACTGAACCGTGATGAGCTTGCAACCTAACGACCCGAGTGACGGGAGGCGCTAACCAAACCAAAAGGCTACTGCCAACTATACGACCATTTTGTGTCTCTCTAACCGAACGAACGAACGAACAAACAATAGATATTTCCAACGGCTGAAAAAACATTATTTTCCCTTTCCCTATGTCCTATGAGGACTTTTATACTGCTAGCTTCCATGGAAGGCAGATTAAGAAACTAGCATAACAATCTGCCACAACTAGCACGCCACCGACCGAGACGTTGGCAGTGAAGCGGATCGGACGCAGCCGTTGACCGACCGATTTAGAACGCAAGGAGCCACGCGCCGCGGCCATCAGACGGCCAGAGACGACCCGCGGACGATCGGACGGCCGAGCGCGCCACACCGGAGGTTAGGCCGGCCGTTAGGGGTTCAAACCCGGTCGCGCCCGCAACGGTAACCACGGCCGCCAGCCGCGTTCGTTAAAGGGAAAGCAACGCCGACCGATACTCTCACCAACCACCCATTTGTCTGTCCGACCCACGGCCAGGGGATCGGGCCCCGGCCCAGCCGCCGTGAACCCCCCGCGTCGTTCTCGCCGTTTGTTCGCGTCGATCCGTTTTCCGGATCACACAGGCCCTTTGTCACCTCCCGCTTCGCCCCCTCGCGTCCCCCGGAATCGCGAACTGCTCCGAGTTTCCACCACTCTGCATTTGCGAACTGCTCCTTGGGCCGTCCTCTCGATAGAAACCGGGAAACTACAATGTGGGACGTCGGATCTGCAATGCTCCTTGGCTTATCCACCCACCATTCTTTGCTTTTTACAGAAAAAACAAGAGACACGTGGTGCTTACCCACGTATCTGGTCCGACGATTCGCATATGGATTGTTAGGTTTTCATCGAGTGATAGGGTTTCGTGTGATACTTTCTCTAACCACTGAACCCGCTCCCCACCCTGACACATACAAAAAAGATATTTGCAGATGTACCATTGCTGTTGGAAGGACACACGGGCTTGCCCATTCATTTTCGGTCTTCATCAGTTGGACGTGTGACCACAATATCTGTTTTTTTGTCGTTTTCTGAAACAAATTTTGTAATATATCTCATATCTACATCCAAAGGATATGCACGACCACATTTACTACGAGGGTCGTATGTGGAGCAATAACAATTAAGATTATGAAAGATAAGATTTTTATGGGGCAAGTATCGACAATAATCAATAGCTACGACCATCCAACCCCGTGAAGGCAGCTGAAAAGCCAGAAACTACGCGCAGACTATTCTTTCGCAGCGATCAGTTTTCAGACCGAGTTTGCCTTTTATGTCTTTTGTTCCGCTCCTTCATGTTTCTCGTAATTTCTAACTCGAGAGTCTCCCTGTAAACCCCGAGCAGCCGATCAATACGCGTAGGAGCTCTTGATATGCTGCTTGTACGGCTGCGCTCTAGACTTTAGGAAAACTAAAATCAATGGTGAAAAACACCAACAATATACTAATACTTGCATGCAACGAGAATCAACAATCAAATCAGCCTCGAGTACAAATGGATCACGCGACATAAATGAAATGGAGTTGCTAGCTAGTGTGTGCAAAGCAAGCTAACCAACAGCAAAAATGGCGCCCCTAGCAATTCGCCGAAACGTCAGGGGCTGATACGGGAAACCGCCGAACCCGGGAGGGAGCGATAAATTATTCCCGTCTCCTCCTCGTCGCCCCCTTTTCCTTCAACGCAACGGGCGAGGGGTTTTGAAAGACGCCTCCATCCTTCCTTCCTTCCTCCCCTCTCCCTTCGTCTCCCCCAGCACACAACCGAACCCCGCGGCGCGCCCCGACGCGACAGATACCCGCCCAGCCGCAGCCAAAGCTCCATCCTTTTAACCCCACACCCTCCTCCCCTGCCGCCTAGGGTTTCGGTCCGCCCCCCGCGTCGCGCCGTCTCCGCCCGACTCGATCCTCCCGATCCCCCCACCGATCTGGGGGCGCCTACCTGGTTCGTGCGCGGCGGCGGCGGCGGCGCCCCTCGGTTTTTCCGTTTCTGTTGTCTCGACGCGTTTCCGTGGGGGTTTCTGATGCTGATCTCGCTGTGTTGGCTTCAGGCGGCGGCGTGGATGACGTGGCGGCGGCGGTAGATGGGTATGGCGGCGGTCAAGGTGGAGGAGCGGGACGGGTGCGCCGAGAGCAGGCAGCATCTGGCGCTGTCGAGTCCGTCGGCTTCCGAGGGAGGGAGCTATGGCGGCGGGCACGCGTGGGCGTCGCCGCTGGTGCCCAGCCCCGCCGATTCCGGCTCCACCCGCAGGTACCGCCCTCCGTCGACTGTCTCGGACTCTGTCGTTCGGTGTTGCTGGTTAGTGGTTGCTTACCTGACTAGGGTATGGGGGGGGGGGAGGCCTGTTTGCCCAGGAGAGGTGGTTTTCTTATGGGGCGTTCGGTTAGCAGATGCAATCGGGGTTGGGTTGTGACTGAAATGGCGCAGCAGGTCGCTGCGTTCTCCATACAATTCCCATCTCTGGACGCCTTTTCTGATGGGAAACATGGCTGGTGTGCAGTGTGATGGCCGTATGGGGGAAAGGGGGGTTAACATCAACATGTGGAAATGAGTCTCAGATTTTTTATTTCGAGAAACTCATGGTGTTGAGATCATCTGTATTGGAACATGCTGTGTGTGGGGCTTAGTAATTGACTGTTAGGGAAAGGTGCAATTTCGTTGAGTGCCACTACATTTCATGAGGTTTAAGTGATTATCATCTCATCACTTGCTTGGTTTGGGTGTTATGAGGTACTGTACTGCTTTTCTGATTAGATAGTCTCATTGGTGGGAGTGTGCTGCTTGGCTTGTGCAGTTGCCAGTTAGTATGCTGGGCCATTGGATAATTTTGCTTAACTTCTATTGCCTTAGAAATCAGTATGTTGTCTTGGTTGAGGCACAGTGAAGGTTGCTTCTCAGTGATCCTTGGAATGAATGGAAGTGGTGATTTACATTGGTTTTAATGACATTATGTGCACATGTTTTGGTCTTTTTATGTTTCAGTTAACCCACTATGTGTTTTGCCAATTGATGTCAATTTTCGCAGATTTGGTATGTGTAAATGCATTTGTGGTGTGTTAGCTGAAATATAATGTCATAATAATATAATTAATGATATATTTTTGGGTTCCCTCAGCACTGGAACTGGAACATGCCAATTTCAGCTTTTCAAGATGAATACTTAGGATACAAAAGTTCATCCAAGAGAAATTCATTTTGAGTTAATTTATGATTATTTGAACATGTGCCAGCAATGAAGGTGTAATAGGCTGTTAGGGTCTTTACTGTATGCTGGCTGACACTTGTAGCATGCTTAGTTCATTAGTTGCTTGCCTAATTATAGAATATAGAATAAAAACTTAGCATGTTTATTATTGTAATTTCCATGAAACAACTTCCATCATAGTAATAGTAGTATATTGAACTAGTTATAGGTTTTCTCATGGCTCTGTAGCTTTGATTATTGATCAGCAACGTGTTTAAGAGAGAAAAGCAACAGTCAGCGTTTAGGTACCAGAAGTCATGTCGCAGAAACTTGGTTATTCTTGCCTTGCCCATCTTTCAACTGGATACCCTGTTTTGCACCTTCAGTTTATCATTACATGAGTAGTTGCTTACTATATATGTCAATGATCATACTCTACAAATATCAGGCGAACAAGTGGCCCTGTAAGAAGAGCTAAGGGTGGCTGGACACCTGAAGAGGTTAGTATCTAACTATTCCTTTTAAGTAACTTCTGCTTCATTTCCAATATATTCAGTATATCTGTAATACAACTGTTGAACTGTTTGGTGTCTGGCATCTGCTATTATCTTGCTTTGTTATTGCCTTTTGGTCTTTCTTTCTTATTTTTACCTAGTTTTTCTTATTCATGCTGCAGGATGAAACATTGCGCGAGGCAGTTACTGTTTTCAAGGGAAAAAATTGGAAGAGAGTAGGTTGGCTTCTTGTTTGTGCTCTGCATCCTTTTCTCAATGTTCATCTAACAATTCCAGAAAACTAGGGGTCAATAACCATCAATATTTACCTTCATTATATGGTTTTATTTTATCATGCAATAAATATGTTTAATAATGTACCTGCGATTGGTGGAAGAGAGCGATGTGTTATGTCTAGGTCCAGGGAGGCAGGGACTAAGGATAGGGTGCTTGCCCTCATAACCACCGGCAGGGCTGTGAGTAATAACACAAAAAGTCCCTACTGGAGATGGGAAGGGGAGACTACAAAACTTCTGATTAATCTTTGCTTTGTGAAAATATATTGCAAAACTTGATGGAGGTTTTAATACATACTCCCAGCTTTTTTGGATGGAGGGAGTATATCTCATGCTAGGCAGGCCTCACAATTTAATATATTTGGTTATAGTGCGGTTGAGATTGAGAGGCATGTTAGAATCATATCTGGGGGAAATAAATAAATATGTTCCTCATATTTTCTACATTCGAGGTAGAACTCATTTGCACCCTATAGGACTTTGACAAGGAAAGTTAGCCTGGGTAAATTTCGTGCTTACTTCTGGAAACAGTTTTTTTTCAAGTACCGTAATCTCATAGAAGAATCTGTGTTGTATGCAGCTGAGTTTTTCCCTGATAGAACAGAAGTACAATGTCTGCACAGATGGCAAAAAGTTCTTGACCCTGAACTTATAAAAGGACCTTGGACCCAAGAGGTTCGCCAAATATTGTTTGTTTTTCTCCCATCAAATCCAAGTCTGCATATATATGTTGTGATCTGTGCACTCATTGAGTTCTTTTACAGGAAGATGAGACCATTATCCAGAAGGTAAAGGAGCATGGACCAACAAAATGGTCCGTTATAGCAAGGTCACTGCATGGTCGTATTGGTAAACAATGCCGAGAGAGGTATTCACCTAATGATGTGCCATGCATGATGACAAAGATCTGTGCAACACACCCTTATATTCATACATCTCATAACAGTTTGTTGATTTTCCTTGCCTAAGACAAATTGTGGAAAACAATTTAACAAATCTGTATATTTCTGGGGACTGGGGGATTAAAACTGGATGTCACTTATTGAGGGTATTGGCTATTTTGAGCTGCATTAAAAAAACCTTATAGATGAGACCTACGTTTTCTAATGGTCCCAGAGATAATGGGAACTACAGCTTTTAGGGATTCAGATTTTGATTTATATGCAGGACACTGTAACTAAATATTGCTCAAGTCATTTAGCAGTTCATGATATCTTGACATTGCCCTGACAACTTCTCTGAAAATAGCCAGTGTCCTCCGCAGTGTCTAGAAAATGGCCACAGAAATATAAAGCCCAGCTCCTCATATTCACAATAAAAGAGCTAACCCAAAAAGTTCCTAACTTTGGGTCCCCAAAATCCACTGGTGCAGACTCCTGTGCATTGCATCCCTGTAGCACAGTGGATCTCGGCTGCCCTCTTTCCTGGCTGCTTTAAGTTTAGCTTACCTTTCGTATTAGTACATGAGTAAATGTACTCCTGTAGTAGAATATTTACTTGGTTCTGGCCAAATAAAAATTCTTGCACATCAGGCTATTTTAAGCTGAATATTAATCACATATTAATATCTGTAATTGTAGTAAAGTTTCTTGCATAATTGATTGATGTATTTATAAGCTCGCCAGAACAAATTACATACATAACCTAGTATACAGCTAACTTCACTTTTGATGCTGCTCATATAATTTAGATGGCATAATCATCTGGATCCTCAAATAAGGAAAGAAGCTTGGACTCTTGAGGAGGAGCAGGTGCTTGTTGATGCTCATCGTATGCATGGTAATAAATGGGCGGAGATTGCAAAACTCCTTCCTGGAAGGTACTAATTCACATCATCCTTCATTCCTTCCTCTTGGAAAATACTCCCTCCAACCCATAATATAAGACATTATTACATCTGATTTACTCTCATATCAGATGTAATATCTTATATTATGGGACGGAGGGAGTACGTTGTTTGCACATATAGTTTAACCGAATCCTTTTGCTTGCCAAATGATGGTCTGTGTATCATGCCTAGTGTGTATGCAAATTGCTCATAAGAGAACGGCAGAAAGCTTTATAGATCTATCAAATAACTTGCTGGTCCAATAAACATAGTGTATTTGCATGCTGTTTAGCTGCAGCTTGTTCCCCATCGAGACTATTGGTAGGATTATTTTTTTCTTATCTCACCAACTAAAATTTTGGCCGAAGTCTAGTTTGGACTTGAACAGTTTGAGTCGTTAGTTTTGAAGTTTAGGTCTTCCTAGGACCACGCGAACTAGAATATGTAGGAATAGGAAAAACAGAGGACTTGGATGTCATGTACCTATAGGATCTAACATATGAATTTCAGCACATGTCGTTTATATTAAACCTTTTTTGTCCTCTTTATTTGATACTGGGCTTCTTGTGCTTATCTTGTTATACCAAGTATAGTAGTTAGAAAAAGACATGTTTTTTGTCATATACAGGATTGACCTGCTAGTGGACGGACTGTTAGAGGTTCTGTCACTTGGCTGTTCTGCGCAAATATTGTGGGTTAGGCAGTTAGGCCTTTTGCGGCTAGATGATCAGTGACTGAAATTTGTAGGAGAGTGCGAAAAGGGAAGTACACATTATATACCTGTAGCATAGCTTATGAATGTATTACTGTACTTGTCGTGATGTGATGGTCCTTGCACATAAAGTTCTTCCATTTTTCAATACTTTAAATTACCTCATTGGATGGAACTTGCGCGCGCAACTGCTTATATTTCGTCTTCCACTGATTTAAGTTTTTTCATTCCTCCAGGACAGATAACTCAATAAAAAACCATTGGAATAGTTCAGTGAGAAAAAGGCTAGATGAATATGATACAGGAGCTGCCCTTCCAGTTCCAGTACATGTCAGTCATAATGATTTGAAACAGGTCACAATGGCCCCGCCTGCTGAGAACTACATTGACTTGAATAAAGAGCCAAATATCAGTTTGAGTTCAGTAATAGTCGATCACTCTGATCCTACCCATAGTCCACGGGTGTGTAGTTTGAAAAATATCAAGGGCTGTTCAGATTTCCTCTCTCTTTCCCTGCCAACTGCTCAACCAGTAACTTCATGTCAGGCATCAGTAGCTGATGATTCTGCTGTTGCTTTAGCAATAATGGGGATGAAAATGAATTCCGGCCGTGACAAGGACATGGAATTGAACTTTGTTTGTCAGAAGGGTCTGCAAATCAATTTGCCGAATGAGAAGGGCCTGGAAATTAACTCCGTAACAGCTAAGCCAGATGGTGAAATAGATAACACTGGACGTGAATCAACCTTAGTAAAAGAGGCTCAGTCCTTTGGTTCTCTTTGTTATCAGATACCTAAGCTAGAAGATATCGACCTTGTTCGTTCCCCAGTTTTGTCAAGACATCATGGATCAGAACACGGCGTGGATGGATTTCAATCGCCCACTGGCTATGCTACTCCCTCTCCAACTGATGGAATACAATCCGATCAGCTCAGTGTGGAATCAATATTGAAAAGTGCTGCTGAAAACTTCCCAGGTACTCCTTCGATACTCAGGAGAAGGAAAAGGGATAAACCAACGCCTTCTCAAGATACTGATTTTAAGATTGATGCAAACAGTGATGGTTTTGACACTCCCAAAGCGAACTGCACTACATATAGCCCACATTCATTTAAAACTGCATCATTTTTGTCCTTGGGTCGCCTTGATGACCAGCAGTTGCCTTCTGTCTTGGGGAAGTTTGATGTTTCCCCCACATATCGACTAAGGTCAAAGCGAATGGCTGTGTTGAAAACCGTTGAGAAGCATCTAGATTTTTCGGCTGATGCGATGGATACTTGTGACATGGTTGGATCTCTGAAATCTTCTTGCCGGAATACGGAGAGTGTCAATGCCAGCTCAGACATTTCAAGCGCACAAGATAGGAGGATTAATGGGCATATGATTGGGTTGGAAACTCTAACCAGTGACTTTGCACACACAACACAGCTAGATGCAACCTAATTCTGCAGTATCCAGGTATGGTATAGCATTGCATGCCTTTTGACTGTGCACCTGTACATTTATACATGAACGAGAATATAACCAATTAACCCTGAGTTCTGTGTGCATGGAAATTCCTGGAAATGATTTGATCATGGGCCTAATATATGATTTTGCTTCCCTGCAGCGCAGAAGCGGTGGGCGACCTGCTGGAGAGGGGATGAAGACCTTATGCGTCTAAACAGACCTGTCCCTAGACGCTCGCTCACAGGCAGAATTGACCAGAGAAAGCAGTTTTGTTGATCTACCGGGTAGAAAATAAAATTTTGCCCCGCCATCTCTCCTTGGCGGGGTGTACATTCGATATTCGAGTCATCTAGCGATACTTTTGTCAACAGGAAAAGAAAATGGCGACTTACATGTAATTCAGCTTTAGAAGGAGCTCAGCTGTGTACAAAGAAAAAAAACCCATAGCTTTATAGACTTACAGATCAGCGAGATGCAAGATAGTGGGTGCTTTTTGTTCTTTCGATCAACGATCGTTGGACTATATTGGTGGGGGGTCTAGACTTGTAATTTGAAGACGTCGATTAAGGTTGGAATTTAAAAACGTGGATTATCATTGTCATGTGCGCATGTTGTTTGCTTTGATACTTTTGCTTGGAGTGTCCGTATATATTGAAAAACATTTGCTCGGATCTGTGGTGGACTTGTTCCCGCTGTCAGACGCACCTTGACGCCTGCTGGACACCCACCATTGCCGTGCCAAGGGAGCTCGCTGCCGGGCTGCCTCCCTCGGCAGAACTTTTTTGGGTACCCTATTTTACATCATGTGTTGGATATGTTCTTAGCCCGAGGCCACGTACTCCACGTGGAGAAATAATTCGTGCACCAGAGCCGCCAAGCTCGATCTAGGCAGTAGCCGGACCAAGCTTCAGAGTAATTAGCTTTACACGGTTTGACTTGAAACAAAATGTAGCCTTGTTTTTGGGATGAAGGGAGCACAGCAGCTTCACATGGTTCTTAGTCCTGTTGCTACGTGTGTTAAAAGGTCGAGCTATCAAGAAAATTGTTGCCGAGTCACGCGGCAAGGCCATTGTCACTTGTCAGGACCTGAATCATCTGAACCTGAATGTCTGTGAAGAAATGTACAGCGACACTGAAGAAATCGACAGCTTATCGAAGGGGTACGCGAACTGGCAAATGGACGGCTAAAATGAAGTCACTAAAGAAAATCAACGGCTCCCGCGTCAACAGTCACTGTCTCATTTCCGGCACGTCTACCTACTCCCCTGTTACCGGCTGCGTTTGGGATCTGGTTATCTTCCCCTTCTTCCAACTCTAAGAGCAAGACCGCTCAAATCACGTGAACCCGCAAAATTCCGACGAGTATACATGCTCGGTTCAATTTTCTGGCCAGAGCAGAGCCCGTATACCCGCCTGGCCCGTAAAACATTTTACGATGGCTCGCAAATTGCCCCTCGAGGCGGTATATGTACGGGTTTGCGGGGCAGATACGGGTCGAAACCCTGTCCCCCCGCTGTCGCGTTTCCCCGCGATTCCCCAATCCCACCTCCCATTTGTTGCCGCCGGCGAGTCCAATACCGTCGACGAACGCCATCATGTGGGGCCGAATGTGGAGCTCCGGCTGGAGCGACGACCCCGAGCGCCAGAGGTGTGTCCGTTCTGATGGCGCGAGGAAGCGCGCGCCCAGGAGGTACACCAACAATAGCCTCCAGCCGCCGGATTCGCTCCTCTGTCGCGAGAGGGAGGAGTACGACCATTGGCATGGGCGGATCTCCTCCTCTGCCGCGGGCTCCTCCGCCGCCGGGAGGGGGGGGGGGAGTACCCGCACGCCGCTCCTCACTCTGGTGAATAGGGAGCCGGAGGATCTCCTCGTCCTGCGCGTGGTGAAGCGGGAGCTTGAGGCGTCGCCGGTGCTGCGGGGTCATCAGGCCAGAGGATTTCCTCCCTCCAGCCAAGGCGGACATCTTTGAGCGGGCAATCATGTCGCGCAGTGTGCGGGAGGAGGGGGAGGAGGAGGAGCGGCGCCGGCGAACCCTTGCTGAACTCGACGACGTCCTCCTCGAGTAGGGGCTCGCGAAGGAGAAGGGGTTCCTTGACAACGAGGACACGAGGCGCCGCGAGAAGAAGGCGCATGACGACATCTACGTCGACCTCGTCTCCGCCGACGACAACTGAAGAGGTCCCTCGCCTCAACATTGCCACCAAACCCTGATGGCTCCGGTGAGCCTAATTTTGGCTTTAGGGTTATGGTGGCCATTGCCTATTGCTACCTCTTGAGCTTGCGTTGGTTTTTCCTTGAAGAGAAAAGGGTGATGCAACAAAGTAGCGTAAGTATTTTCCTCAGTTTTGAGAACCAAAGTATCAATCCAGTAGGAGACAACGCAGAAGTCACCGAATACCTGCACAAACAATCAACAACTTGCACCCAACGCGATAAAGGGGTTGTCAATCCCTTCACATTCACTTGCAAAAGTGAGATCCGATAGAGATAGATAAATGATAAAGTAAATATTTTTGGTATTTTTGGTTTATAGATCGGAAAGTAAAAGATTGCAAAATAGTAGATCGGAAACTAGCAAGATGTAAAAAAGATTCAATATAATGGAAAAGAGACCTGGGGGTCATCTATTTCACTAGTGGCTTCTCTCAACATAGCAAATATTATGGTGGGTGAACAAATTACTACCGAGCAATTTATAGAAGAGCGCATAATTATGATGATATCTAAGGCAATGCTCATGAACATAGGCATCACGTCCGTATCAAGTAGACCGAAACGATTCCGCATCTACTACTATTACTCCACACATCGACCGACTCCTGCCTGCATCTAGAGTATTAAGTTCATAAAAAACAGAGTAACGCATTAAGTAAGATGACATGATGTAGAGGAATTAACTCAAGCAATATGATGAAAACCCCATCTTTTTATCCTCGATGGCAACAATACAATACGTGTCTTGCTGCCCCTACTATCACTGGGAAAGGACACCGCAAGATTGAACCCAAAGCTAAGCACTTCTCCCATTGCAAGAAAGATCAATCTAGTAGGCCAAACTAAATAGATAATTCGAAGAGACTTGCAAGGATATCAAATCATGCATATAAGAATTCAGAGAAGAACCAAATAATATTCATAGATAATCTGATCATAAATCCACAATTCATCGGTTCTCGGCAAACACACCGCAAAAGAATATTACATTGAATAGATCTCCAAGAACATCGAGGAGAACATGGTATTGAGAATCAAAGAGAGAGAAGAAGCCATCTAGCTACTAGCTATGGACCCAAAGGTCTGTGGTAAACTACTCACGCTTCATCAGAGAGGCAATGGTGTTGATGTAGAAGCCCTCCGTGATCGAATCCCCCTCCGGCAGGACGGCGAAAAAGGCCCCTAGATGGGATCTTACGGGTACAGAAGGTTGCGGTGGTGGAAAACTGGTTTCGTGGATCCCCTGGATGTTTTTAGGGTATAAGAGTACATATAGGCAAAGGAGCTAGGCCAGGAGAGCTACGAGGGGCCCACGAGGTAGGGGGCGCGCCCTCCTGCCTTGTGGCCACCTCGTCGCGTCTCCGACTTCATCTCCAAGTCTTCTGGTTTCCTTTCGGTCCAAGAAAGATCATCGCGAAAGTTTCATTCCGTTTGGACTCCATTTGGTATTCCTTTTCTGCGAAATTCTAAAATAGGCAAAAAAAACAGAAACTGGCACTGGGATCTCGGTTAATAGGTTAGTCCCAAAAGTAATATAAAATAGCATATAAATTCCTATTAAACATCCAAAACATATAATATAATTGCATGGAACAATAAAAAATTATAGATACGTTGGAGACATATCAAGCATCCCCAAGCTTAATTCCTGCTCGTCCTTGAGTAGGTAATGATAAAAATAGACTTTTATGTGGAATGCTACCTAACATATTTATCCATGTAATTTTCTTTATTATGGCATGAATGTTTAGATCCGAAAGATTCAAAACAAAAGTTTAATATCGACATAAAAATAATAATACTTCAAGCATACTAACAAAGCAATTATGTCTTCTCAAAATAACATGTCCAAAGAAAGTTCATCCCTACAAAATCATATAATTTGGTATGCTCCATCTTCGTCACACAAAATATTCAAATCATGCACAACCCAGGTTTCAGCCAAGAAATTGTTTCATACTTTAGTATTCTCAAAATTTTCAACTTTCACGCAATACATGAGCGTGAGGCATGGACATAACACTATAGGTGGAATAGAATGGTGGTTGTGGAGAAGACAAAAAAGAGGAGATAATCTCACATCAACTAGGCGTATCAATGGGCTATGGAGATGCCCATAATAGATATCAATGTGAGTGAGTAGGGATTGCCATGCAACGAATGCATGAGAGCTATAAGTGTATGAAAGCTCAAAAAATAAACTAAGTGGGTGTGCATCCAACTTGCTTGCTCATGAAGACCTAGGGCATTTGAGGAAGCCCGTCGTTGGAATATACAAGCCAATTTTTATAATGAAAAATTCCCACTAGTATATGAAAATGACAAAATAAGAGACTCTCTAACATGAAGATCATGGTGCTACTTCAAAGCACAAGTGTGGAAAAAGGATAGTAACATTGCCCCTTCTCTCTTTTTCTCTTTTTTTGATTGGCTTATTTGGCCTCTTTTTTTTGGCTTCTTTGGCCACTTTTTTTTATTTCCTCACGTGGGACAATGCTCTACTAATGATGATCATCACACTTCTATTTACTTATAACTCGAAAAATTACAACTCAATGCTTAGAATAGAATATGACTCTATGTCAATGCCTTCGGCTGTGTACCGGGATGTGCAATGAATCAAGAGTGACTGATACGTCTCCATCGTATCTACTTTTCCAAACACTTTTGCCCTTGTTTTGGACTCTAACTTGCATGATTTGAATGGAACTAACCCGGACTGACGCTGTTTTCAGCAGAATTGCCATGGTGTTATTTTTATGTAGAAATAAAAGTTCTC